ACACCATCCCCAAGTCCCTCACTCTAAAAAAGACAGAAACTGAATGTAGTCCAGTACAGCATTCGGGGAAGGAAACAAATCTTGGACTATAGGAGAGGATATCCTCTGGACCCTCTACCATAATGGACGGCTCTGAGCCACATGGGAAATTTTAGAGAGGTCCTTTCTGCCACCACCTAACTAGCACAAAGGGCAGGCGGAGCAGTGGCTCTCACATGGTGGCCTGAATGAAGCTGATGACAAAGACAAACACCAAGTCTAACTATGTTCCGGTGACCAACTCGGTATCTGTACAGGTTGAACGGCAGAAGAGGCCCACAGGGGCACACCATAAGTACCCACACCGAGCATGCATGCGCACCTCACGCTTCATTCCTGCTCAGCCCTCCACATCACCCCTTCCCCAGAGCACGGGCAAGCCAGGCCTGGCCTGCTGAGGAGGCACCCAGCACAGGCCCAGGAGCCTGCACTTGGGACCGACTGCTTGGGTTTGAACCCGATCTTAGCATTTTGTGAACTTGCGCCTTTTTCCTCAGCTGTGAACTAGGGCTAACAACTTCCCATCCACCTCAGGACAGTTGAGCAGGTCAGCACGTGCAGCCCACATCAGTGACAGGCATCCCGTTGTTGCCAGAACCTTTCCTTTGCAAAGAAAAATGGGGAGAACAATGACATGGGAAGAGAAAGGAAGAAATGATTCCGGAACAGCAGCCTAAGAGCTCTCAGGTGGCCACTCAGGAGGGCCCCACCTGTCCTTCCTCCATCAGGAAGCATTTCCGTGCATCTTGAGAGTGAAAATGAGGCACTCTCCACTCGAGGTCTTAGACACAGGGATAATTAAAACAGATGATGTGGCCAAGGCCTCCTACCCCCATCCTGGACCTTGAGAACTGCCTGGCTTACGTGGAATTTTGTCAAAGCACAAACCCAGGGATGTTTGCTGTCAAGAGGCAGGCAAATGAAGGTGCCTACTAGCTTCGTGCTCTGCTTATAAAGACATAAGAAGAAGGGTCACTATGAAATAAGATCATCTGTAGCAGAGTCCGTATGTTGGAAGACGATGGAGTCTGAAGTTCTCTGAGCATGTAGGCACAAGAGATGCTGTCCTTGTGGGGCAAGAAGGTCTGGCCAGAAGGAAGCAGACGCTTGATGCCCGGCTGTCACGCTGTCTTCACGAAGGAGGAAGTCTCACCAGTGGAAGGAAGCCAATTCTTCGCCATTCCTCTCTAGCCCACACTGGCTGCTTCACATCCAAACCAGCCGGCCAGCCAAGCCATCGTAGGAACTAGGTCAGAGCCAAGCGCCAGATGAGATGGCTGGCAGACATCTTCCCGAAACCCTGTCTCCTCTAACCACTCAAGGCTCTGGTCACCACGCCATCCCTCTCCATCACGTGCAGTACGTCCGTGAAGCGCAGAGGTACTGTGCCTACTCAGATGGTAGCTAAGCTCTGTACGGCTGTCAGAAGCCATGTGATATGGGGGAGGGGGGCGAGGAATCATCTTTTTCCTGTTCTTAATAGATGGCATTTTATGATATGACCTTGTTTATTTATTTGTTTTTTGTTTTGTTTTGTTGGGTCTTTTTGGTTTTTAGGTTTTTTTGTTTTTGTTTTTTGAGACGGCGGCTCACTCTGTAGTCCTGGTCTGATTAACACAGTGTAGGAAGAAGACCCAACACCTGGCAATATCCTACTTCAGCCACCTCGGAGCTTGGATTGCAGGCAGATACCACAACCCCAGATAGTAGAGCCTTAAAATTGTGCTTTGAGGGAGAGATTGCTTGATGGTTAGAGCACCGGCTGCTCTTTCAGAGGACCAGGGTTCAATTCCCAGCTCCCATCTGTAACTCCAGTCCCAGAGGAGCCGACACTTTTTCCCAGCCTCCTTCGCACTGCTTTCACATGGCACACAGACACGCATGCAGGCAAAACACCCATCCACATAAAAATAATTTTTAAAATGTGTCTTAACCAATTTTGTAGTAAGTGCCAAATACAAAACCTCAGAGCAATAGAAAACTCAAATTAACTTCCTATCCTGCCATGCAATGAGACTAAATTATTTCCTCTTAGCTTTATTTTTTAATTTTTTAAAGTAAATCTATAGTCAGTGTTTACAAAGTCGGCTATTTTCTCACTTGACATTATTTTATATGACTTTTCTATTTGTTTTCACAACACACACGTGTATTATTCTTAATAATGTCATGTTTGATTAAACAATATTTCTATTTAATGGTTAATTTGTTCTGTTTTTCTAAAATTTATTTCGTGTGTGTGTATGTATGTGCATGTGTGTGCAGAAGCTTGTGAAAGTGAGAAGAAGGCATCAGATACACTGGAGTCATCAATTGTGAGCTCTGATATGGTTGCTGGGAACTGAACCCAGGTCCTCTGGAAGGGCAGCCAGTGCTCTTAACCACCGAGCCATCTCTCCAGCCCATATCTTTGTGTTGATTTATTTCTCCAGGAAACAGTCTCAAACGTGTCACCAGGCCAAAGGATGTGGTGTTTCATGCCTCGTCACACTCTGCCATGTTGTTTTCCAGAGATATTTGTAATAATTTATGTCAGTATGGGATATGGCTTTCTCAAAAGCCTTACCAGACTTGATTTTATATGTATGATCTTCACCAGTGCAACTGGCATTTCATAACTTTGGGGAAGTTTGCTCTCGTTACCGTTATGGAGGCTGAGTCTTTCCCCAAGGGTCTGTGTTTATATACTGTAGTATGACTGAGGCCATAGTGCCTTGACCATTGATACAGTAGAACAGATCCCGCCCTGTGGGTCTGAGTCTGTCCCCTTGGTCTTCTAGGTGTTAATTATTTTTTTCATTCATTCTATTTATCACCAACATTCCTCCCCTAAGTCTCTTTGACTAGAGAAGGTTTTGCTCAGTGAGCACAGCTCCGACTCGGGTGAAGATCATCAATCCAGGCCCAGCTCCGGGTGCCCTGTTTTCTGCTGGCTGCACAGTTTAATATTCTCATAAATTTTCCTGTACACTGCCTGATTCTTAGGCTCCCAAGCTCTCTGATCAACTGTATTCCCAATTTGTCAAACTTACCCAGCACTTACTCAATGTTGTGCTGTGTGCAACTAAAAAAATGAGGATTATGTGTTTGCTTACATTTCTGTTCATTTCTGGTTTATGCCACGGCTTTTGGTTGAGGGAACATGTGGTGGTATTGTGTTCCCCAAAATATTGTGTACCTTAATAAACTTATCTGGGGTCAGAGAACTGAAAAGCCACAAGATACTTAGGCTAGAAAATGTTAGCACACACCTTTAATCCTAGCATTCCAGAGACAGAAATCCCTCTGGATCTCTGTGAGTTCAAGGCCGCATTGGAAACATCGAGGCATGGTGACTCACGCCTTTAATCCCAGAAAGTGAGCCTTTAATCCCAGGGAGTGTTGGTAGAAAGCAGAAAGGTTTATAAGGTGTGAGGACCAGAAACTAGAAGCATTTGGTTGGTTAGGCATTTTGGCTGGTTAAGCATTTGGCCTGGTTAAGCATTCAGGCTTCTAGCAACACAATTCAGCTGAGACTCATTCTGGATGAGGACTCAGAGGCTTCCAGTCTGAGGAAACAAGACCAGCTGAGGATCCGGCGAAGTGAGATAGATGAGGCTTGTTCTGTCTCTCTGATCTTCCAGTATTTCACCCCAATACCTGCCTCAGGTTTGAGTTTATTAGTAAGAACTTTTAAGACTCATGCTACAGGAACATTTCAACCCCATCAGCTAGAAGCACATCACAGCTGCTGGAAGACACAGAACTGAGCTGAGGTGATATCCACGCCAGAGGATTCGGGGGAGGGGTACACAAAACAACAAAACTGCAGGCAAGTTTAATCTAAAATTTAAACAAAATAAATATTTGAAACATGTTACAGAATCAACATAAGGTCAACTTAATTAGCTAAAGAATATGCAGGACCTAGACTTTTGCAAGACTCAGTTCAAATGAAGAAAGAGCAGATTAGAAACGGTCAGCATCACATGGAGCACAGCGTGAAAAATGGCCCAAAGAGCCAGGCTCTCAGGCCTGCAATTCCAGCACTAGGAAGGTTGAAATAGAAATAGCATGAATTCAAGGCCATCCTCGGCATCCTCGGCTAGGTTTGAGGCTAGACTACATTCCATGTCTCAAAAACAACCAGTCCAAAGATCCACACCTTAAAAAAAAAAGTATCACAAAAAGAAAACAAGTTACTAATTCAAGTTATTTACATTTAATTCAGTGTGTGTGTGTGTGTGTGTGTGTGTGTGTGTGTGTGTGTGTGTGTGTCTCGAGGCTCATGTGTGGAATCAGAGGACATGGCTGGAATCACGTCTCCCTTTCCACCAGCTGGATCCTAGGCTCGGTGGCGAGCACCCTTACCCACTCAACCATCTTCTGACTGTTATTATTTCTCTGCTCCCCACCACACCCTCACCATGAGAAGGGTTCCCAGTTGGGGAAGAAGGCATCCTGGCACGCTTCCTTCCTTTCTCATTTCCTGTTTACTCACAGCTAAAGGGCTAAGCCGCTCACTCACCCACCACGTCCACAGTTCCTATCCATCAATGCGGTCTCGGGAGCGGCTACAGTCACAAGCGGAAGTCCAGTCTCCCAGCTGCATATCCAGAGCGAGAAGGCGACTTTGTCCAGTGTGACAGACACAACTACATTTCGGTTCCAAATCATGGATTCTCAATAACGGTTACTACGGTCACTACAGTTTGCACTTATTGACGGTTTAGATTATGCCGAGACCCACCAACACTACTGCCCCATTTTACAGATGTGGCAAAATGAAGTCAGAACTTGGCCAGGGTCACTAACCTAGCAATAACAGAATTGAAGATTAACACTGCACACTGCCTCGTATCCGTGAATATTTTAATTATTTGTAGAAAATTGCAATTCTTTTCCGTGGCTGTGCAATTTTTAACTATAATACATTCAAAAGAAAATTTAATTCCAGCCCAGCTAGATATTCGCTGACTCACCGTAGTGTCAAATGCAAACGGGTGCAGACAAACTGCACCAAGACTCTGCTCTGCTCTGTGCTGATTGTTACACATATAAGCGGGTTTACTTGTTTTTCTCAACGCTGCTAAGATACTTGACGTCACAGCCAGTGAGATGGAGGCAGGGTTGTGCTAAGGAGAACTGGAAAGCGGAAACGCCAACCTGGAAGTCAAGAGGCAGGGTTTTAGCCCGGTTTCCAACAGGACGCCTCTCCAGACCACAGGTCCCTCACAGGCAAGAAGCAATCGGTGAAGGGCGGGGTTCTGAAGATCCTCTCTCGCTTTAGGTGTCTAGCAGTTGATGACGTTGGAAGCGTTATACTGGTGCCGGAGATGTGGGTGCAGCGCCCCCTCCTGGCAGTCTCTCTGTACTCTTCAGGGAGGGCCTGGTCATACCGACATCAGCCAGCAGGTGGTGCTCATTTGTCCCGAGGAAAGGCCCCAAGCTCCCAAGCTCCCCCTAACCAGCTTCTGAAGTGCATATCACCAAGTTGAGGGGGTAGGCAGGGAGAGGGAGAGGGAGAGAGGGAGAGAGGGAGAGAGGGAGAGAGGGAGAGAGGGAGAGAGGGAGAGAGGGAGAGAGGGAGAGAGGGAGAGAGGGAGAGAGGGAGAGAGGGAGAGAGGGAGAGAGGGAGAGAGGGAGAGAGAGGGAGGAGAGAGGGGGGGAGAGAGGGGGAGAGAGGGAGAGAGAGTTAAATGAGATGTCTCCTGAAGTATTAGCATTATGAGTGGCCGTATTAAGTGCTCAGATAGATGCCACCTCTTGCTATTGTACCAGCCCACATAAGGCATCTGATAACTGTGACCATGACCTGCAGATAGCCAGAGCAGCCAGCTGTCCATCAAACGGCCACTCAGCATCTTGGCTTCTTTCTCTTCAAACACATTTCTCCCCTCCACCACCACCACCACGAGACTCCAGTGCTCATCAGCACCAGAATGAAAGGAGAGACTCTGAGGGCCAAGGCTTGGGGTCTTTGGGGAGCCGTGAAGAGCCCCAGTGGAGATGCTGCAGGTTAGGAAGGGAGAGAGGGAGCTGATCTTCGAAACCACAATTGAGGTAGCTTAAAAAAAAATTCAATATACCGTGAAAAACAGGAAGATTATCACTGGGGACAAAATGAATTACTTGGGGATTTGAGGGAAGCTTTTGTGCATGTTGTTGTGTGAAGGAGTATCCCAGTAGACTACCAGAGGATTTAGGGTTGGAGGAATTTAATCTGTTTCTTGAGCCCATTTTAACCTAAAAAAAAATGATTTTGATTTTTAGAGTTTTGGATGAGAACCAAAGCCTATTCAGAGTCAGGGGAGGAAGAGATGAAAAGGGCCTGCCCCTGTGCAGAACAAGAGGGAATGCGTTTACATTGGAAAAATTGCACATGCTCAGTGCAGAGGTTAACTTGACTGCAATGGGAGAGCTTGGGGACACAAGAAAAACCTTCACAATTTCCCCGCATTTGTTATTTGTATTAGTTGAATGAGGACATTAAATTCAGCTGTGTTTATTTCTACTTATCCCAGCCAAGAAAGCCAAGATTTTAAATTCAAGTTATTTTGTTTTTGTGTATTTATTTTTGAAACAAGATCTCACTCTATAGTCCTAGCTAGCCTAGAACACACTATATAGACCAGGCTGGCTTTCAACTCTCAGAGATCCACCTGGCTCTGCCTTCCAAGTGCTAGGAATAAAGGCGTGTGCCACCTTACCCCACCTAAGTTCAAGCATAAGTAATGTACAGGCAACACAATTCATTTCACTTTGTGTGTTGTTGTTGTTGTTTAGGGTGTAAGATAGTGGACAGTTTTCAGATTAGGGATGTTCTACCTACATTAAGAATCCCTACCCATTATAAAAATCCATTTATAAGTTGAGTCAGCATGATGACAGTGATATTCTGTTATACCCAAAGATAAGTGTCTTGCTCAGTCATCATCAGAGAAGCTTCTTCTCACAGTAGATGGGAACTAACACAGAGATCCCCAACTGAACCATATGCAGAGAGTGAGAGACATTGGAGCACTCAGGTCTAAATGGGATGTTGCCCTCAAACCTCTCCCCGAGGGTTCAGGGACCCACACAGAAGCAGCAGCAGCAGCAGCAGAAAGATTTTAAGAGCCAGAGGGGAAGAATAGGAAATAGCATCCTCCAGACACAACAGGACGGATGCACACAGGAATTTACAGAGACTGTAGCATCGTACACGGGGCCTGTCCAGGTTCAAGCAAGAGGGGGTCCCACTGCTGAGTGGAAATGGACACGGTGCTCCCACCCAAAGCCAAGAAGCTCTTTGCAAGTGACATCTGCTTCCAAAGGAAAAAACTGTTTTCAATGGAGCCTCAGTGGGTAGACAAACCACACTTAAGGGCAGGCCCACACGCAGCAGTAGATGGCCAACACCAAATGAACTCGGCGGTATTTTTTAGACTTTTTGTCTCGTATTGATTTGCTTGGGCATTTCTTTTTTGTATATTATAGCTTATGATCTTGTAGGGGGTTGGAGTGTGTGTGTGTGTGTGTGTGTGAGAGAGAGAGAGAGAGAGAGAGAGAGAGAGAGAGAGAGAGAGAGAGAGAGGAGGGAGAGGGAAGGAGGAAGACAGACAGAGGGGGTTTGCTTTTTGTTTGGTTTTGTTTGCTTTTTAAGAGGGAGAAAGAAAGGACGTGGAGGTGGGTAGGTGGAGAGAGGGGAAGATCTGGGAGGAGTTGGGGGAGGGGAAAAGCATGATCAGAATATATTTTATGAAATTTTTTTTCAATAAAATAAAAAATAAAAATTGAGTCAATAGTCAATGAACAATGTTTTTCAGGGGAGAGGCCAGAGGGAGGAGATCGTGGAAAGATTCAGGACTCACTGCTGGCATTAACAGGATTACTCACACAGGATAGAACACAAGGACATTGTTCCCAAGATGCCAACAGCTTCAGAAGATGGAGCAGGCACAGGAAGACAAAAGAAACTCTCTAGGAGGGCCGAGAAGGCAATCTGTCATTCTTAGAAATAGTTCCGTATTTTCACATTCCAAAAATGTGTCTCGGTCTCTAGACAGAAGGCACTCTTGGTGCCAGACTCCAGTAAATGATCCCAAACACCAAACCCCTGCCACTGCAGCTCCATTCACCCCACCATGCTGCAGACATGCATGGGAAGGGGAAGCAGCCAGGACAGACAGACAGACTGAGCAGACCCCATCGGAAATACTCAGAACCAGACATGTGGAGCACGCCTTTCTCCCGGTTTTGAAATATTTTCTTATCACAGATACATGCAATGTCTTAGGGATGGATTACAAGTCGAAACACAGTTGAACAGAAACTCAGTTCTGTCTCTCACCCTGCACACATAGCCTGAGGGTAATTTTGTACCTGTTTAGTATGCCTGTGTTTCTGATTGTGACCCATTTGTGGTGCCCTGTTAGCACTCACAAGGTTTCAAACAGTGGATCGTTTTGTATTTCGGAAGTCCAGGTTTGGTCTCCATGAGGAACTGCTGTCCTAGACGTCAGTAGGGACTGACTTATGTATTAGGGACTGATGGGAACTCTCTATCGGAAGACTTGAACCACTAAGGCCATTTTATATTTATTTATGAGGCAAAATAAGTACGGAGGTTGTGCTAGTTGCTTGCTATTGCTGTGACAAAGACATGCCCAAAAGCATTTTGGGGAGGAGAGGGTTTTTCATCTTACAGCTCTTGGTCACAGACCATCACTGAGGGAAGCCAAGGCAGCGATTCATTGCAGGAACCAGGAAGCAGGAACTGAAGCAGAGATCATGGAGGAACATCACTCCCTCATTTGCTCCCTCTGGCTGGCTCGGATTGTTTTTTATATAACTCAGGACCACCTGTCCATGGGGGGCACCACCCACAGTGGGCTGGACCCTCCCACATCGACTAATGGAGAAAATGCCCCACAGATATGCTACAGCCAGTTTCTACGGAGGCATTTTCTCAGTTGAGGTCCCCTCTTGCCAGATGACCCCACTTTGTGTCAAGTTGACAAAAACGTAAGCATCATGGTGGCTGAGAGTGGGAATGAGACCTTGTGAATTCAATCCCCGGTTCCAGACTAATCAGCAGGATAACTGAGTTATCATATCACTGGGGCTTGGTATCCTCATCCACAAGCCAGAGTAGGATTTACATCATTAAACTGTAGCGGTGGTTATAAAAAGTGATCCAGAAAGCATGTAATTCAATAAGTGGCACTTATTCTACCCACAAAAATGATTGCTTCCCTTGATATTACCAAGGAAAGTGGCTGAGAGTAGAGTTGGCATGAGATGGGCACTGTACAAATACGGCCTTCCTTACTGAGAGCTCTAAGGACCACCTCCTCATTCTCTGTATTTATAAGTACAAGAGCAATCAGACTAAATTCTAGCATTCTGTATAAGGAATACCTGAGGAAACTGTGTCTGTTAAAATTACTTCAACTACACTAGGCATGATGGTACATGCCTTTAATCCCAGCACTCAGGAGGCAGAGGCAGGCAGATTTCTGCGAGTTCAAGGACAGCCTGGTCTACATAGTAAGTTCCAGGACAGCCAGAGCTACATAGTAAGACCCTGTCTCAGAAAAAAAAAACAAAAACAAAAACAAAAAAACACCTAAATAAATAAATAAATAAATAAATAAAATTTAAAAATTACTTAAGGTGAACATGGTGACATATGCCTATGATCCTGGTACTCAAGAGTCTGAGGCAGGAGAACCACCAATTCAGGACCAGCATGGGCTGCATAGTAAGTCTCTGTCTTAAAATAAGTAAATTTTAAAAAATGAAAATTAATTGTTCACATGAGCAAGAGACAAAGAGAATAACAAGAAATTTGATACTAACAACCAATAAGCACAGTTCATGCAGATTAAGTGTGGTGGGGACCGTGGACACAAACGTTCCTTCAGGCTAATCCAAGTGCTCCAGAAGAAATGTTCTTGACCCAGGAAAATCATGAAGAGCCTTTTGAGTGTCTGAAGCTGCAGTGTTATTTCTGCCTGCCGGGAGAGGGCCGCTTGCAAGAGAGGAATTGTGGGGTCAGAGGCTGTTGACTGTGCCGTTTTACAAAGAGAACTTCAGAAAACAGGAAGTGGTAACAAAGGGGTCTCACAGGTTGGGCCAGGAAGATGCCTCAATGGAAAAAGTGTCTGCCATGCAAGCCAGATGACCTGAGTTCAACCCCTGGATCCCACAGTAGAGGAAGAGAACCAACTCCCCAAAATTGTCCTCTGCCTTCACGGGTGTGCTATGGTGCACACACACACACACACACACACACACACACACACACACACACCCCATATGCATGCAGCAATAATAAATAAGATAATAAATGTTGGAATGAGTGAGGTATCTCAGTAGGTAAGACCCCACCAGTAAGGCTGACAGCCTCAGTTTGATCCTTGGGACCCCCAAGGTAGAAGGAGAGAATTCCTGAAGATGTGCTCTGCACATGTGCGCCACAGCATGTCCTTACACACACACACACACACACACACACACACACACACACACACACACACACACCT